CTTTTGGCTTTTCTTGCCCTCATTTCCCTCCACTCCCTTCCCTGTTGCACCTTTTTGTTTTCCTAATTTCCACCCATTTACATTCTCACTGGTGTCCTGTCACACTTTTAGCTTCTTGTTTCCTATGCCTGAAGAAGGGTGATTGCACCCAAAAGCTTCCAAAGAACTTCTTCCAACTACTCAGTTGGTCTAATAAAAGAGAACATCTACCCAAAGAACTTTGCTTGTATGTATCCTAAGGCTTTTTGAGAGTTGATCTTCAGTGGAGAAGATTAATCCTGAGCTTGATTTTTGATTTGGTTGTTTTCTGATTTCTGGGTAAGGAAGCTTCTGGCTTTACCTTTGATCTCACTATAATTTTAATTTTGGGGGTCAGGTATCTAGCACTCTTGACAGAAATCTAATTTAAAATACTAATTCAAATTAATTTGACAAATGCTGGAAGTATGACTGGCTGACAGAAACCATATTAGTCCCTGATATGGTGCAGTGTCAATTAAATTATATTACATTAATATAGCATCTTCAACCTGAAGCATCCCAAAGTAGTAGTGTACCAAAGTCCCAAAGGGAATTTATACAGTTAGTGAGTTAGAATTTATATTCTTTGCTACCATTCTCTGAACAAGAACTCTTTTTTTCAATAGGCCTTGATGACTGCCTCCAACAATACATTAAAAATTTTGAAAGGGAAAAGATCAATGGGGAGCAGCTGTTACACATCACTCATCAAGAGCTTGAGGAACTGGGAGTCACTCGTATTGGTCACCAAGAACTAATTTTAGAAGCAGTTGACCTGCTCTGTGCATTGGTAAGTAAACTGGTTTCATTTACCACTCATTCTAACAATGCAGACTTTTGTATATCTTATCCAAAATTAAGATACTGAAGATTGCACAGTATACAGCACTTTTAGGTCTCACCTCACTTAAATACTGTCTCATATTACTTTTGACATATTTGAAGGGACTTCAGTTAAACACAAAGGAATCGACTGTTTTCTTTCTAGAAACTTTGCTTATTATTATTATTTTTGGAGTCTTATTTCCATAGAGGGTTGTCAGTCTTTTTTTGAAGTCTTTTCAGTGCTGTATTCACTTGTAGTTCATGATCAGTGCTGGCATCAATATGGCAGTAGGATTACGTGCCATATACCCTCATAATCCATGGAAGTTTTCTGTGGTGCAGTAAGCCATGCAGGCCTGTGTTCAAACATGCCATCACTCAAAGATTTCATGCACTTATGTGAGATGGCAGTAATAATTGCACTGGAAGGAATTTAAAACACTTTTGCAAAGATCACAATACACTTTTTAAAACAATATTAAATATTAGGGCTGTGCAAAGCTTCAGATCATGATTCAGATTCAGAGATGATTTGGAGGCCAAATCTATGAATCTGAATCAAATCGTGGAAAGTCTTAGGCTTTCCGAATCGATTTGGAGCTTCCGAATCAATTCAGAAAAGATTTGGCAATTTGGCCATAGGGTATAATGGGGAATCAATGAAATATCTATAACTTTGTTGTCTTTTGGCTGATTCAGGTGAAACTAGCAGGGATGAGAGCTGAGAGCATGATGCATGCAAAATTTCAAGGTAATAAGTGCATAGGTTTCTGGGAAACTGCACTCCAAAGTTCTGAAAGCAAAAGTGTCACGTGGGTGCTTATGCGACTGTGTATGTGTCTGTCTTGGGGCATGGGGTGGGGGACCAGCTCAATACACAATAGCTAGTAGCTACTAGATAAGTTAATGATCAAGGATTAACACCTACAAAACCACAGATTAAGGAGAGGAAATAATCAATAGAGCCAAACTGCTTCTGCTCCAAGACAGAGACAGTCAGTTGCACAAGCACCCATGTCACGAGTTTTGCCTGTCAGCAGCTAGAAGTGCAGGGCCCCAGAACCCCTGCACCTAGCTCCTTGAGAGCTGGCAGGCTTTCTGGCCTTAGCAGGGGCTAGCAGGCCTGCCGTTTTCATCCTGCTGTGCTTTAACACACACAATGTCACCCATGTCATGAGTTTTTCTTGTCCGAAGTTTGAGGTGCAGTTTCCCCCAAACCCCTGCACCTATCTCCCTGAAACTTGGAAAGCTTTGTGGCATCTGCAGGGGTTACCATCCCTCCAGTTTTGACCCCACTATGGCTTAACACATACACGTGACATGAGTTTTTTGCTTTCAAGAATTTTGGGTGCAGTTTCCCCCAAACCCCTGTATCTATCTCCTTGAAACTTGGTATGTGTCATGCTCCCAGAAGAGGCTATCAATTCAGCAAGTTTCATCCAAATCAGACAAAAAACAACAATGTTATGGATATTTCATTGATTCCCCATTATACCCTATGGCTGAATCTCCGAATTGTCTCTAAAGCTTTGGAGCTGCTTTGGCCGAATCAAAATGGGAAACTGATTCAGAGCTCTGAATCAAATTGGTGGCATCTGAATCAGCTGAATATGAACCCGAATTGAATAGTTCCCTATTTGCACAGGCCTATTAAATATGGATACCTGTAATCAGCTAATTGGTTTTGTAGTAAGATAAAGAGTAGAAAGACTTTTTTTTTTCTACTATATGTAAAGCTACGGCAGTTTATATATATCCTTCAAAAAGTGTATTCAAAGTTGTAGTATTCTGGGGGTTGCCTCCAGAGAACTAGAACGTGGTCCTGGAAGCTGTGCTCTGCACCATCTTATGGGGCTCTTGCCCCTCCAGCCTGTCTCAGGACTCTGACAGTCTGAGCCTCTGTCAGCCCAACAATTCAGCAATAACCTAGGCTTCTCTGTGGGGCATCTCCAGTGGCCTCCTTTCCTCCCCTTCAGCCATTCCAGTGTCACACGACTCAAAAAAAAAAGGAGCAATACTCTACCAGAGCCACATTGCGACTAAGGAGCCTTTCTAAAAACCTACTCAGTTCTCGAAACCACTGTTCCGTTTCGTTTCAGTGAAACAGTTTCACTGTTTTGATGCTGTTTCGATGTTTCGCCCATATGCTATAATGGGGAAACTCAAAACAGCCTATAACATTGTCATTTCTGGCCTGCTTTGGATGAAACTTGCAGAAATGGTAGCCCCCTACCAAGTTTCAGGGAGATAAGTGCAGGGGTTTCAGGGAAACTGCACCTCAAAAGTTTGAAAGCAAAACTCATGTCACATGTATGTGTTAAGCCACAGTGGGGTCAAAACTGCAGGCTTGCTAGGCCCTGCAGCAGCTACAAAGCCTGACAGCTGTCAAGGAGACAGGTGCAGGGGGAGTCTGGGTTCTGGGGCCCTGCACCTCTGGCTGCTGACAGGCAAAACTCATGACATGGCTTCTTGTGGGACTGTATCTGTCTTGGGGCATAGCAGGGTGAAAACTGCAGGCCTTGTAGGCCCTGCTGTGGCCAGGAAGCCTGCCAGGTGTCAAGGAGAAAGGTGCAGGGGGAGCCTGCGTTCTGGGTCCCTGTACCTCTAGCTGCTGATAGGCAAAACTGGAACACACAGCTCAGTAACTGACACCAAGGCAGAAAGCAGGGCAGTTCAAACAAGGCTGCCTTTCATGAAGTTTTTCCATCCCTCCTCCAGAGCACAGGGATTAGAAGGGACCTCAGGGAAGGATGACAGTCACTGGCCAGCTACACAGTCAATGATGAGCGCATTCCTCCCCCTCTTCCCCCTCCCTCTCCTTACTTTAGTTTCTGTTTCCCTGCAGGCAAGACAAGCTTGAGCTTTGAAACATGTCAAAAGTTTCAAAAGGTTTCGACTTGCCTTGTTTTGTTTCGAGGCTGTTTCAAAGCTCTCTGTTTCATTTTGATTTCACTGTTTTGAGTTCGAAACAAGTCGAAACAGCGTCAAAATGAAACTGCCAGTGAAATTTCACACAGCCCTAATTTGCAGCCCATGGCAATGGTCCAGGTTGCAAGCAGCAGCAGCAAATGGCTGCTGACCCCATGTCTACATGAATAGAATCCATAATTTAAGACTTTGAAAGTAGGTATAAGTTAATCGGTTGATTACATAAAATAATTTCAAAGAATTCATTGGGTGAAGGATGAAAACTGAACCATATATCATACTTGTGCATTGTTAGTGAAGGGCTGCTTGTACTGACAACTGGGAAAAATGTTGTTCATTAACCACTCTTATTGGAAGCTGTTTTGCTTCCTAAATTAATGTTGGTCAGTGAATGAGGTGTAAACTATTGCACTCCTGCTCAATTGGTTTTGAGCTTTTAAACCTCTAATATCTTTAGTAATCTACACTGTTAGCTGCTCATGGACCTTGTCCAAACTATTAAGAGCTTCAGGTGACCCATGCCTATAACATAAATGTTTAAAATCATGGGTGTCAAGGACATATGTAGGCTGTCAAAGTCATTGCCCTCTAGATCTGACACACAAGGAACCCTGCAGAACCCTGACTGCAGGGTTCTTTGTGGATCATATCCACAGACAAACTGGGAGCAGAGGCAGTGGGGCAAGTGACCATTGCACAAGTGGCTGCTTGCCATGGAAAAGGTGACTGGCAATGGTGGGTCCAGCAGCTGCAAAGGATGTGGCACTAGATGAAACAATGGCTGCAGAGCAAGGAGGGCTGTTAGCAAAGTCCTTGTTCACCCCACTGACACCAAGGACTATGTCCAACTGAACCATAAATTCTTTGGCAGTTTTCACCTCCTGTTAGCTGTGTCCCCAAATTCCATGGTCCACCAGTAGCCCAGTGGGCCAGATGGAGTAACCCTGTGGGCCACAAGGTTGACACTCTTGGTTTATCTGCTATTACTGTCTCCATTTGAAAAATTGCTCTGCTGTTAAAATGAGTCACTTTAATGTGTTTATATATAGGGCTTAGATCTTGTGTTAGTAGTGAGTGTTTTTAAGCTTTGAGTTTAAATTAAGCATCAGAAAAAAAAGACCTATGACAAGTGCATCTGAAAAATAGTATTCTTCGCTGTTCTCTACATAGTGACTATATATGGGACTTCAAAACCTCTATATTGGGTGCAAGATGCTATGATAAATACTTGCATATTAAAAAATATGAGGCATGGCAACATTACAAATGATTAATTATCATGTCACATTCATATTTTTAGCTCTCAGTGGGTATTCCTTAAGGCCAAGAAATCTTCCCAATCTAACTTAATTTCTCTGTAGTTTAGGAATCAAATAAAAGAATGAATGGACATCAATTCACATCAGTACCAGGAACATACAGAGGCCAGGGGCAGAAAACTTTAGTCCCCCTGATCTCAGAATAGCTATTCTTAAATAACAAAACTTTAAAAACCAACTTAGCCAATGGATAATGTCATGTTTATACTCTGTTTAAGTATGGTCTGAACAGAGACTATGGATTCTTAACCCATCACCTGGAATAGCTGTTAAATTCAGAAATTAACTCCTGCATCCCTCAATGAGTTTACTGCCTTGTTTATCCTTATGAAGCTATTCAACCCACTTTTTGTCTCTTTTAACAGCACCCCCTCAACCCCATCCATTTCCTTTCTATTTAGATTCTTTTCTGTTTAAAACCATTTCTTTTTGCAAGTTTGTTCATAGCATCTGGTGAAATAGGCCATTGTCTACAAAAGTTCATGCCTATGAACTAATTAATCTCTAAGGTTTCACCCTGACTTACCTTCTACCTGACTTGACAGTAAATCAAGATAATCTGCGGTAAAGATTCTCCCTTAAAAATTGTGTGGTAACTGTATTACTTAAGACTGTTACTGAGGAATGCATCACTTGTCCACTCAGCTACTCATTTCACTTTCAGGGTAGCAGTTTGCACTTTGCAAACCTGCTGCCCTCGCTTAGTTTTCTGCTAGCA